GCATTTACATGTAATTTGTATTTATTAATCTTCAGTTTAAAAAATTACAATTGAAAATTCAAATTTATCTAATTAAGAATTGCACTAAACTTTCCAAGATTGTATAAATATATCGACAATAAATATGTCTTAATTATGAATATTCATGTTCACTATTATGGATATGTAATCGCTTAGATTATTTGTAATTTTATTTATTAAATCGCTTTGTTATGTAAATAAGTTAATCAAATATATACACATACTCCACATAAACATTAATATTTCCGCATTTGTTTTACAAATATTATATCGATTATGAACGTTACGATCTCTAAAAAGTATTTTTCATTGTTAATTATTTTATAAATACTATATCTATGAATGTCCTGAACATATATTAAGCATCATTTTTCCAATCATAATGTAAAATATATGTATGGTAGAATTTTCAATAAAATTGTATCATATTTCTGAATCTGAATTTCTCGTTTAATATTCCATGTAGTATTTATAAATTAAGATAATACCAGCACTTCATATTCTCTAAATGGAATTTCTCTGCCTTCATAAGGCACGTACAATACTCCGTGGGTTCTCTGTATCTGTAAAGAAATATTTAATATAACAGAAATATAAGTAAATTCAAGTAAAGAGAGAAGGAATCCGTAGAGCTTAAAATAAGAAAATGTGATGTGGTAAAAAATTTTATATAATATAGATATACAGTGTATCTCATAACAGATAATATAACGAAAAAAATACAAAAAGTGTTATGAGATATAGTAGAGTGTATGTGAGATACACAGTATATAGTAGTTAAATTGAGGAAATAAAAGTATTTTGTTAGTAAAATTTTTGAAAGATAGAACTATTTTTTAAATGAGTTTTTCAAATTGCATGTATCATTTGTTCCAATATTTATATTAATATTTAAAAATATTATACTTTTTGAACGTTTTTAGCATAAGTAAGTTACATACTTTTTGTGCTTCATATTTTGTTTTTTAGAGTAAAAAGACATTTTTGTTTGTGATTTCGAAAAATTATATCTTTATTACATCTTCATCACTTGACACTGATTTATCGCAATTAAACATAATCTGGTATATTATATTCTTCTGACATTATTCTTTCTAGAAAAATCTTCTGTTTTATATTTTATAATATAATGTAATATTATATAATTATCTATAATCCTTAATCTTGTGTCTTATATTTTAGTAAATTCTTTTTGCAATTATGAAAACTAGGTCAAACGTGTATTGTTGTACGACAACTTTTTTTTACAAAATTATAACAGTTTAAATATTTAATCTTCAAATATTAATGGAAGACACTGTATTTATAATAGATATTCCTTGTTATCATATTAATTGTGTATGATTTATGTATAAAGTAATAATAGATGAATAGTTACATTTAAAATAACTTGCATTTAAAATGAATTTACACTTAAAATGACCTTACTTTCCCCACGCATGGTACACCATTCTGATAGGCACGACCAATGTAGAGCATTTCTCCATCCATTGTTCTTCCAGCTTCAACCGCATGTGGTGGAACATGACCGTGTCTCGCTTGGACCCACTTGAAATCGGCGGGCATTAAAACCTGTTAAGAGAAAAAGGAAAAAAAAACACCATGTAAATATCTGTCTAGCTTGAGCAATTATAAATATGTACCTTGTTTAGAAGGATCTAAGTAATACGAAAAATAAATTAGTAACTCTGAAATGGAGCAAAGTATTTTTACAAGATGGAGTCATGATTGGTTAAAGATAAAGTCATATGTTTTAATATTATAGTTTAATAATTTCAACCGTGATTAATTCGAAGTAACTTATTATTAATCGAACAATTTTAAAAAATTAAATAAATAAAATATTAGGTAGATAATAATAAGATAACATATTATATAGATAATAATAATAACAATAATAATATTAAAATATTAGAATAAAAAATAATAATAATAATAAAATATTAGATAGATAATAATAAGATAACATATTAGATAAATAAAAAGAATTTATATACATGTTATAAACTTTCAAAGAATTTTATGTTGTTTATTTAATAAGGAAAAAAGACATATAAATTGAAAATATATTTCATTCTTTAATCCCTATATGATAAGAAGAACTCTAAAATTCGATGAAATTATTACTTTTTTTAAGTACAAAAATTGCATATATATATATATATATATATATTTTTTTTACTGCAATTTTCAACTTAATATAAATACTTTATTTTTCTTTCGATAGTATTAACATTTCAAGAGATTCATATTTTTAACATTATGCTAAAAAAAAAGTATTACAAATTTGCAACAAATATTTGCTCATTCAGTCTTTATTCATTTTATCCAATTTGTATTCATTTCAGAAGTTGAAAGATTTTATTCATTATTTCCTTTTTCTATCAAACAAGTAACGTCATCTAATCATAGTAGTATGTAATTAAAAAGAATTTTCTGTTCAAATTAAACATATTTAAATAATAAACAATCGTTCATTCAAAATAGAATATCATGTAATCGGTGACATGATGATTTTATGTACAAAAGTAAAAAAGACAAAGAATAATATTTTTTTATTTAACACTGGGATTGTGATCAAAGTGATCAAAATAACTAATTTATAATTTTTCTTAGAAATTTTAAATAAGTGTAAAACAATGACAGTTTAGAAGTTTAAACGATTTTCTGTAAAAAGTATAAATTAAAGCTTCTATATTCTTTTTTTATTTTTTTATTTTAATGAAAATTTTCTTTGATGGAAATTTTACACTTTAATCATAGGTAGTTTTAATACTAATATAACTTCGTTTCAAAAAAATCAAACTTGAAAATTTACTAAATACATTAAATGTTTTTTACACGAATTGTAAATCTATCCTTAATTAAACATAGTCGAAATAGTTTATTTTCTTGAAAACGATATCTCATGCTGTAAAACTTTATTTTACAGTTTTTAGTAGTAAAATCTTTTGAGTTTTTATTCTTCTAGTAAAATCTCATTTATTCGCACTTTATTTATAGGAATTAATATACGAGCATATAATTGATCAATTTCTATTATCCATACTATCTCTTAATTAAATAAATAAATAAGTTATATTTAAATAATGTTAATGGACCTCTATTATCCAAACTCTTTGTCCTTGGTTATCCGAATGATCTTCTCTTTTGACAAATCTTCAAACTCGATTTTTTCAAATGTAAAGTCACGAATGAAAAAAAATATTTTTCTTCGCTACTGATTTATTTTTACACGAATCAGCGTGTCACACGGTTGTCATCAACTATATGACGTAGAAATAAAATTATTTAAATATTGTTTGATCTCACCTCGAAATCGTGCTTTATGTGTTCGTTGCCTCCGTGACAAACGTAAGCCACTCCATGTTCTGGTTTCACCTTTGCAGGAAGCATATCGCCTTGGTGTAAAGCACGCCCAACAACAAGATTCATGCCATCCAAGTCCTTGCCGACAAAAATCATTCCCGGTACAAAGTAGCGAGCACCCGTGTACCTAACCCATTTATATCCTGCAGAGATGATAGATCAACTTGAATTTTGGAAACCATCTTCGTAATATAATCTCCACATATTATACATTATCGTGCATAAATAATTGAACATTTAACATCCAAAAGATTAATATTCTTGTTTCGTTTTTTATAGTTAGGATCGATGTAATTTTTGTACCATATTCATTTCTAATAAACAGCTGACATTTCATAAAATTTGTATATAAATTTATTGAATATAATTAAAAAAATATTTTTATGCATTTAACATATTTATGTTTAAATATGTTAAACATACTATTTTCTGAATCTGTAGAAAACGTGTAGTAAATATATTCAATGTCTTAACATTAAACGAATATATTTAAAATCATTTAATTGAGGTGTCTTTCCAAAATTAATTTTCAATCATCTTCAGTCATTGTTTTTTTTATATATATGATCTGGGCGAATAATATGCAATGACTTTTTATTAAAAAAATAAAAAAAAGACACAGAATAAAATTAAAAATTTTGACTTATAATTTTTTTCATTTCAATTTTAGAATAGATTTCTTTTTCTAGAAAATAGGCTTTGAATATGTTTCATTAAAAATTGTCTTGATTGTGTATTCGATAAATTTTCAAATTTGAGTTTTTCAAAAATAAAACATCTTGCAAAAAAATTTTATTTTATATTTATTTCTTGTTCTTTTTGATAGGGAACCACGTCGTGTCCATTTTGTATTATGTACCCGAACACTAATTAATACTAGCTATTCTATTAGATAATTGTATATATTACAATTAAATTAAAAAGATTTATTTGACTTGTACTTTATATATTTGCGATAATTTAGAAATGCCCAAGTACACATTTTCACGCGATAGTATGTCTTTATATAAATAAAAATAAGACTAAAATATAGTAATATAAATTAAAAATATGAAGTTTGATAAATACAATTAATATGGTCAACGATCCAGTCGAGGACCATACATGTCTATCTATTAAAAAATGTACATTATTTGTAATATTATTAATATTATTCAATATATAAAACGAAAATTTACAGTATAAAAATTTATATAAAATGAATGGATTACAAAGAATCAAAATCTTCTACTATGTACTATCATAGTTTTATTTTTGTCTATAAAACAACACTGACAAAGTTTGATTAATAAAAATATAGAACAAATATAGATAGGAATCATGATTGTTAATGACGTTATTTTCGATCAAATATTTCACAGATGACGATCTTCGTTATGAGTGTTATGGTGAGTGATGTTAAATTTATTTGTTGTTAATATCAACCCATAAATTCCAACAATTAAATTAAAATTACACACGTATTGTTAAATCTTGATTTGAAATCTTTTTTTATAGATTGGAATATTTTGCATAAATTTATTCATCGAATCGTTTTCTAATTAATTTCGTGCACTTTGAATTAGTTTTGTTAGAATGAAAAATTTTATGATTAAGAAAGTTGTTATTGTATTGAAAAGTAATAAAATACGACGGATCAATTAACAATTTGTATCTACTCTGATAATTATATTTATAACGATAACTTCGTCCAAATGATAAGATGACAGTTTCACCAGAAGCAAAATAATCATGATTGACGTATCATGTTGTTTACATATGGTTTAATATTTTATGTGGAAAATATAAAATATATGAAATGTAATAGAAAGAGTTCATTTAATATTATATTGATATGCTGAGACGTTAAATATTCATACATTCACAAAATCTGAAGTAATTATTTGAGTTGTTTCTAATTGATATACAGACACATTTACTAGAGTTATTTTATTTCTTTTCAATATAGTGAAATGAATTATTTATAGTATACAGGACCTTTTCAATTCGATAAAAACGGATGATTTTACACGTAGAATCACTTTCTTTCTGCTTATAGAAAATATATCTTAGATGGAAAACACCTTGTATAATCTTATCTGTTATGAAATGAATAATATTGCTAAGTTACATAAAAAAATGCATTTACGTATATATACGTATTACGCAATATATTATGTGTGTGAAATTATATTTTAAATAATTACTTACCAGGCATCCTTATTTTACTAACAATAGTAAAACACAAATTTTTCTTAACTCCGACGTGATACTTTGCAACTTGTTCAACGTTGCATATGGGCGTCAACGTGATTTGTCATTCTCTTTTAAACGATGTTATCAGTCTTATCATTGATGAGATACACCGGCCACGATATAAACATTGACTGAGTTTCTGAGAAATTCGTTTGTAATTTCATTTCTAAGATTTTTAGATACTAAGAAAAATTTTGTATACTAAAATATTACTGAAAATATTTTTTAATATAATTTTTTCTTGAAGCTTTTCCTAATTATATATATATATGTCAATCTGACGATGCATCAAAACATTGATCCTGAATTGTTGTATTAATTGTAAATATTTGTTTTTTTGTTTGTTTTGTAATTAGTTGTAAATATTTTGCATTGGAGTTAATTCAATTTTACTTGATAAAAAGTAAATTTTAGATAATACATTATTGGATTTGTTTTCTTTGAAATTTTCAATACATCCTTTGTCTTAATTCTTGTATTGGATATCGTCTAATAAACATGTGAACTATACAACTAGTGCTATTTGATAAATAAGTGAACTATACAATGTGTGTTAATTGACTTAAAGAAAGAACTTACACAGTGATATGCTATGTCTATATACCTAATTATTATTGCGAAGCAGTTATATACAGCTCTGTTAGAATTTATAGCCGACTGTTGTAAAGATCATGATATGCATTGGGAAAGGAGGATAAACTTTCTCGTCGATTGAACTAGGAAGTGAGTAATTCGCTACATTGATCGACCAACTAAAGAGAACGTCATTTAAATACCTAACATACATGTATAACTATTCGTAGCTATCTTCTCCTCATCGTGATTCATGCCCAAATCAACTTATATACATACATGTATTACACTCAGGTGAAAATGAGCCAAGCTTATTTTAGGGAATTTATTGCATAACAAGAAAAAATATAACTTGTAAATACGAGCATTCGCGAGTTTCGTTCACGAAGATATTTTGTTTTATTAAAAAAAAAAAAAAAAAAAAAAGAAAATTCAATTTCATTAATATTTTCGTATATAAGTACTTATCAGAGCAATGCAAATTATAATTTGTCTTTGTAATTTTTTACTGATCTTCTCATCAAGTATTCAATTTATTAAAATAATTATCAGAGCACTTTCTAATGGATAGTGATTCAAATCATAATTTTTAGTTGTTGCACGATCTCGCTTTTCTTTCAGGGAAGCATCTTAATTATGATCAAATTTATCATACAATAAATGAATGAAAAGTTTGTTAGAAACACGAATATTGAAAATCAATACTCAAAAACTGTACAAGGATTTCACGAATGTATGCTTATCAATCCATATCTCATCGCGATAACATGGTAATCTGTCTCTATCAGTTGGTGTTCTGATATCTCGTCAAACACGAGAGACGATTATACCGTTACCTTTCTTTATTGTTTATTGTCAATACAATTCTTGATCAGATCAATCGTACATATTTCGTATCTGATTAATTTTTATGTATCATATATTTTTATTTGAATTAATAATAATTCGAAGTTTTAATGCTTCGTTTTATTTCTTCGTTTGCACTCAATTATAAAATTATGATTAATGTTATAGTAGATGTTTCGATGTTTTTGTCAATTGTGATACAACTATAATAATTGTAAGAAAGGAGTGACTGAATAGAGAAAAATCATATAAGAATAGAAACATTTTCATTTTAAAAAGTTGAACATTAAAAATAACAATACATGAAATAATAATTTATTATTCAGATATCATTATTCAAATTATCAACATTTTACCAATAAATGTAAATTAAAATTATAAATTATTTTTAAGAATATTCTTTTTCAAATATTGACATTATTTGTATAATTTTTAATTTACTTTTTTGATATATAATTTGGCGTTATGCGTATAATATTTCGTAGATAAATATCTACATTTAATTATGTTTATTGTAGTTATATAAAAATGACTAAAATACTTTTATTAGGTAATATACGTTATATAATATCAAATAATATTTTTACTATAATTTATCTTTCACTTCAGATGTATTTGGGTTATACAGAAAAAAACTCGTGATTGTCGATAATCTAAAAAGTTTTTTTGCCATTAGCAGCAACACTTTTTATTTTCAATTTTTGTTGTAACTTTTCAATGAAGCTTCAAACGATCCATGTTTATATAATATTCTTTTTTATCTATTGGTAAAAGACTATACTAATAAGATTCAATTGGAAAACACCAAAATACTTTATTTACGAATTTTCTTGATGTATCTTCGTGAAATTAATTCTTCTCAGCAATTATTTCTAATGTTAGAAAGAAATTTAAAAATATATTTAGTGAAATTCATTTGCAATATTGTATATTTAATATTATTTTTTAAACCACAATATAGTTATTATAGCCAATGTTTAATTGCTGAATTGAATGATAAAATAGCCACAGATAACTCGATGGCATTTAAAAAACATTAGAGCGTTCAATTGAGGAAAAAGTTTCTACAGTAAACTGGGCTTAATTAGGGTTGCACTGGATACGTGTTCGGACGACTAACTCGATCGTCCATATCTAAATTGGTTATTCAAAGTGTAGGTGGTTACACGTATCTTGACAACTAGTTTGCATGTCATAAAAAACGAATTTAGCTGATTACTATTTCTTTTATTAAGAATTTTGTTAACTGATAAAAGATTGAAATGGAAAAAAAGAATTTTCTTTTTTTAAGGAAAATGGAGAATAGCATACTGTATTTACTGTACTTTTAATTTATTGCTCCTATCTGGTATAATTTTACACTATAACTTAATATTTTAATCGTTGATTTTTCTCAATTCTAGTTTTTGTGAACTTATGTTCATGACACGTCGCTGGATGAAAATTTATATTACATGAAAAAAGAAAGGAGGACTTAATAATGTCCAGAAAGACACTATAGCGCCATTATCTTTAAGGGCATATTTCCTCTAAAGTGCCACGAATCTTCGCATAGTGGTACAATACCTGAGCAAAGAAGAAAGAAAATGAACAGAGGAAGCGAACAGCCAAAGCCCTTCCACTGGTAATCACCACGGAGAGGATAAAAGTGACCGTCCCTTGTCCTCTATTCTTCCCCCTTTTTTTCTCACGTTTCAAAAAATGTTGCGCCGACCATTGGAAGTAATGTGTCACGTCACGAGGATGTTTCAGTTGAGATTAGAATCATTTATAATCTATATAACGCACGATGCATTTGAATGCAGTTTGATGTTGAAAGATTGTTAAAATTATCATTAGATTCAGACAATTTTAAATCTCTGTTATGATCTTCTTATCACTTTAAAATTTATTCTTCTTTAATGTGAAATAATTATCCTCTTCTTTGTGGTTTATTTTCTGGCAATTATAAATAATTGAAACAAACATTGGAGTCCAATCATTCTTTACACTAGATTGAAATAGAAAATGATTACATATTAACTTATCGAATTTGATTAATTTTCTGTTTCAATTTTAATGCCGTTTTTGTCGATTGTTGTAGAGAAACTGTATAAACAAGACTTCAAGCAAATACTTGTTAACATATTAATTCGTCTTTTATTTATTCAACATTGATTCTAAGCGTTATTTTTCATAGTTATATTATTTTATTAATATCTTTTGCATTTCTGATTTTAACCATCTGTTTATATTTTTCTTTGAATAAGTAATAGTAGTAATTTTTCTTCCATTTTCATATTATAATGAAAGAATATTTTAATAAAGTACTCTTTAAAATTGTTTAGGACATATAAAGATCAGCCCTGTTTTTTTTTTTTTTAAATAATTGTTCGAGTCTTTTGTCCTTCACAGAAGGATTAAGGAATAAATGATATACTAAATATTTGGGTAAATATTTGCTTCTGTTCCCTTTAGAATGTTTAGAATGTTAAAATTTAGAATGTTAGAAAATAAATTAAGGTTCTCTTTATGTTCCTGTTAAAAAAGTAACTTTTATTTTAGTTACCACTGGGACTTTCTTTAAAGCTTCTTATCTCAACCACCCACGAAGAACTTTAAACACTCTTTCGCTGACGTAAACATTAACACATGTGACTTGGTAGGATGCCACTGAGTTTAAGTGATTCTGTTTAGTTCAATATCCGACGAAAAACAGCTGAGTTAGACTGTAAAAAAATTAAGAAATTATCGACAAGCTTTACTCTAGGGAAATCCATTTACTTTATAGATACATTAATGCTGTGACATACATATATATACACGACGGTATAAGATTATAGCTTTATTCTAAATATAAAATAAAAATATTTCAAAAACAAATTTTAATTGAAATCAACTTTTCATATGGATTTATTTTTTAAAAGTACAAATATAAAACATATTATTTTAATATTTGTTATTTCAGGATTTTGCATTTTAATATTCCATTTTTATCGAATAAATAAATTACACACACACACATAAAGATATTCTTATCATCATATATCAGGGTATTGCTGCCCTTTCGAATATGTTTGAAGATTTTTTTGCATTACAAATAAAGAGTCAAAAGCTTTTCTATTTCATATAAATCTATTTTATAAATAAAAATTCAATAGTATTTAACACTAGAACTATCAAATTTCTTATGTTTATGTTAATTTCATATTGAAACCAAAATTGCTCAAAATAGCCGAAATGATTAAAACGTTAGGACCTTTTGCATGAAGTCTCTCTGTCTGTGCGTTCTACCTAGCTTATCCATTCTTCACGTATTCTTAATCAATTAGAAAGATTTTTCAAGCAAAGACTAATCAGTACTCATGTGACAACAAATTACGATCGAAAAAATTGGCAAGAAACCATTTATTTGATAAAAAATTCAGATCATCTGATGATGAAATGAAAATGTAGTTTTCTCTCACCGATCGGTGCCATTTTAAAACTCTTTGAAATATTACTAGGAATTTTATGTCATAATTTAATTTTATGTCATAATTTAATTAATTTAAAAGTCATGAATTTCATTTCCAGAGAAAATTTTCCTCCTAGTTGGGAATCCCTATTTTGTCCAAAATAGCGATTAGGGGAAATAGATAGAAACGCA